ATTAACTTGTTTTTACTCTCACTGATTAAATTAATATTGGTCTGCGACAGACTTAAATGGGTCGTATAGGTTTTACTTTTAAACCACTGGTTTATTTTATTTAACTACCTTAATTGCGTGCAATTCTAACTCCTTCACATAAGTAAACCCAAGTGAAAAAGACGAAAAAAGTCGCGTGCCTTCCAGAAAAACAACAAGCAACAACAACAACGGTTCCGCTAATCCGTTGTTGTTCTGTTTTTTTGGCATGTCCCGTTTGGTCTTTGCATCTTGCACATAAAAGCAGGGTATTTATAGACATATCCGACTATGCAAATCGGTTTATAAAAATATATTCTTAAAACTTCACATATTATTAAATAATATTAATAAACATATACATTTTTTTAAGAAATACAAATATTTTTAAACAGAAACCTATTATTTTAAAAGGTTGTTTTATCATTTACGAACAAATGTCGCATTATTCAAAAGGCAAGGGTTCACAAAAGTCTATATATTTTAGTTGCTGGGCCTCCTTCCCATCACACGCACTTTTCCGTCTGAGACATGGCGAGAGAGGTAGAGCCCAAAATTACTTTTTGTGCGTTCTCTTTGCGGACCCGACTGAGAGCGCGTCGCTTTGCCGCCGTTGCGCTCAGCTCTGCCGGCGTCGCTGGCTTCTCTGCCGACGTCGCAGTCGGCTTCGTGATGATTGGGCGCTTTTTTCAATTGTGGAACTGCAGGGGAAGTACTAGTTAACATAAATAAAAAAATTCTTTGAACATTTTTTCTTTGTGCGCACCAGCAGTCTTTTTAAATCTTTAAATTTTTCGTTTGTCAACAAAACAAACGCAGCTGCTTAACAAAAAGACCATAATTAACGCATTTCGGGTAAACTTTGAATACTTCGGTCCCACTACAAAGAATACGATTTGGTCGACTATTGAAACTCATAGCCGAACTGTTAGACAGCTAACGGGTTTCGGCGGGTCTGGTCTTTGAATTTGCGATCACACTACAAGTAATAAATTTTTCCACTGGTGAAACTCTTAGCCGATCTGAGTATTAAGCCTAATACTCAGATCGACAAGAACCGCGAGCTAACCATAGGAGTGAGCGAGTGGCAAATACCCGGCTAACGTTTTTCGTGGGGTCTGTTTTTCAGCGCGGTACTCAGATGAGCTAAGGAAATACCAGAAAAAATCTCAGATTTCGCGAGTGAGTTTTCGATGAACGCCGTTTGCCGCGGCTCAAAGAATAAGAAATTTAATCTTTGGCGGTGTTCGTGCAAAGGCGATGTGGAAAATAAAAATTAAAAATGGAAGGAAAACCCTAAAGTCGGATGCAGGGTGTTAGAGTAGATAAAATAGGACGCCAAATCCAAGCTTATGCCCTTTATTGTGGGATTTCTCCGACAGGAAGCAATTCCACAGAAGGGGCAAATTCGCAGAATAGTTGAAGGGCTGGAGGAGATCCACTAGAGAATCCCAGTGGGAAGGAACATGCCGAGTGGGACTTCGATCTCTACATGGACATTCTGCCCGTCGCGCCCTCGCAAAGAAAGTAAGATCTGGCCAAAAGAATTTGGTTGCGTTGTAATAATAGAAGTATCTTTTTAGGAGAACCACCAGTAACACGATCTCCGACGACCTCTCCATTAGGACTCCGGACACCAATACCACCAGCTACTTGGCAGCTAAGGCGGAGCTGGAGGACCCGCTGGCTTCTATAGGGAGGAGGAAAATAGGGCGCCCGCTAAGGAACAGTTGGAGAAGCCATAGCCAGCCACTGCCAGTATGCTGAGCGGCTTCCGGAAGAATCAGCGGGCCAACCCTGTTCTCCCACTTCCTCAAGGTCCAATATGCCTATTGGGACTCGGAACTGTACTGCGGTGGAGCGGGAAAGATGGCAAAGCATCCATGGGACGAGAAGGAAGCTTTAATCTACTAATTTACATAAATGAAAACATTCGATGAACATTCCATTTATTTTTATTTAAATTTCTTTGTGCACCAGCAAACTCCTCCTTTTTAAATTTCTCCATTTGATTTGTTTTCCGTTTGGCAACAACCCCGGTGAACTTTGAAAACATTGGTCACACTACAAAGAATAAGATTTTTCGACTAGTGAAACTCTTAGCCGATCTGATGACTAGGCTTTAGTCTTAAACGCGACCAGCTAAAATAAATGTTTCATCTACTTGGTGTCTGCTTCTTTTTTTTTCATTCTTGCTGCCCACACTAGCAGACACTCGCTGTTAAAACTGCTGTTATGTCCACTGCTACTCAGAGTCGCCAGAAAAAGCTGTCCACATCATAAGTGTGAATGACAGTGTCAATTTGCCACTATGTTTTGTTTGCTGAAAAAACTTATTATCGCAAAGGCATTTTAAGAATTTCCATGAGGTGGATGCAGAAAATGGCTTAATTCCATATTAAATAATATATAATCGCTGTTTCAATTTTAAGCGGATTCTTGTTAACATAGAGTTCACTAAAGCGAACAGCTGATCGACATAAGCAAGCCGTCTCCGAAAAGAGACGACGTGCAAATTAAGGTGTTTAAAAAAAAATGGAAATCATCGCAAAACTAAATTCAAATAGAACGCATGTGGAATTTTTTCAGCGCCAAAAAAATTTTTTAATGCTATTTGCAAATTGATCAAGGTGTTGATTTTGATTTGAATTAAAAATATTTTCACATATTAGATCCGTTTGGACCTTTTAAGTATTTTAATACGTTCCTCGCGTATGGTTCTTTGACTATGTCCATCTTTATATCAACAATTTTGGCCAATTCCGGAAGATGGGTGCGCCATCAAATGGCTCTTTCTGTGGAAAAAAAAAAAATGTTTTGGTGCAATAGGCGCGAAACGACAATTACAAAAATTTCCTGAACTCGAAACAAATACTGAATAATACTTTAAAAGGGGACTCATCCCCGAAATTCGCGAAAAAATTATCCTCGATGGAGCGCGATTTCTGAAGAATTTTCGCGCAAAAAGAACTTGGCGGTCGGACATGGTTCTCTTGTAATTGAATTTCAAAGTTCCCGCCTTAGCTATAAAAAACAAGGGGGCCTTTTCTCATATTTTTAATAAAAGTAATTACATTTTAATAAGTAGTTATAAAATTAATTACATTTTTAAATGAGTTCCTATAAACCTTAATAAGGGTTTCAAATGAGTTCCTATAAAAATCATGCAACATTTTTTTTCATTTAATAAAAAATTTTATTTTTATGTCTACTGAAAAAGTATATCCAAATAATCATATTATACGTGGAGTGCGGTCTAAACAGGTTACATGCGGTTATACAGTTTGATGTTACAATGCTGTATCGTGTTTTCAGTGACGACCATGAACGATCATGGCCATCCACGGTCCCCCACCATTTTAATGCATTAAATAAAACTCAAAAATTTGTATTCAATATGTATCTTCAAATAATTTCAGTGAACACTTTTCCGAACCAGCATAGAGATAATGTTCCAGGCTCGTTTTTTTTATGATGGTGTCCACCATAGGCCTAATCCACGTTGTAGAACCGAATATATGACAAAGAGTGTCCTAATTAACAACTTAGTCGACATCGGAGGTATTCTATATGACAAATTTTATGAAGTATGTTAAATATGAAATAAAAAGTAGTGTAAGTACAAATTAAAAAATAAATACAGCAAGTAAAATTTGGCATGAAATAAAAAAAAATCGCCGCGATTTATTTTGTTTATTTATTTTTTAATTTTTACTTACACGATGTTTTGATTTCATGTTTAACATAAATCATATGATTTATTCTTCGGCCTGAGCATAACCGCCATGGCTGTAAAGCTTTAAAAAGGCGAGGCGCACCAAAAATCCATGATAGTGTTCCTTCTCTGCAAGCATTTTCTATCGCGGAAGGCACTATTAAGTGACTTCTAGAAGATGAAAACGATCGTCCGCGATATCGCATTCGGGTCGCGGAAGTGACTCCCGTCGGAAAGAAATGTGACAATTATGCGATTATGTGTCGCCGAAGTGATTCCGAGAAGTGCCGCCGAAGTGGCACATTTCTTCCCGACGGGAGTCACTTCCGCGATCCGAATGCGATATCACCGAAGTAACTTCTAGAAGTGTCGCCGTAGTCACTTCTGAAAGTCACTCAGGAGTGACTTTACACATGCTTGTAGAAGATACCTGGAAGAGTCTTTCCCACTTGGGAAATCTTGAATAAAAACATTATTTTTATACTTTTAATATTTTGCATTTATTATACCCGTTACTCGTAGAGGAAAAGGGTATACTAGACTCGTTGGAAAGTATGTAACAGGCAGAAGGAAGCGTTTCCGACCCCATAAAGTATATATATTCTTGATCAGAGTCACTAGCCGAGTCGATCTAGCCATGTCCGTCTGTCCGTATGAACGTTGAGATCTCGGAAACTATAAGAGCTACAATAATACAATAGGCATGCAGATTCCTGAGATTCCTGCGCAGCGCAAGTTTGTTTCAAAAATGTGCCACGCCCACTCTAACGCCCACAAACCTCCCAAAACTGTGGCTCATACAGTTTTGATGCTAGAATAAAAATTTTAGCTGAAATGTATTGTTCTCATCAATACCCATCGATTGAACCAATAAAATTTTCCCACGCCCACTTTAATGCCCACAAGCCGCCCACAAACTTCAAAATTGTAAATATGAACGTGGATATCTCGGAAACTATCAAAGATGGAGAAATGGGATCTCAGATTTAGATTCCGTAGCCTTGTACGCAGCGCAAGTTTGTTACGCAAACATGCCACGACCACTCTAATGCCCACAAACCGCCCAAGCCTGTGGCGCCCACAATGTTCATGCTAGATACTGAATTAGAATTAGCTAGATACTTAACTGAAATGTATTGGTCTCGTCAATACCTATAGATTGATCCAAAAAAAAGTTTGCCACGCCCACTCTAACGCGCATAACGCTTAAATCTGTCTACCGCCCTCATAACCACATATTGAAATCACGGGTAGGTGGCGCGTTTCAATCTCGCTTTGCTGCTTGCATATCTCCATTTCCCTTTGGTCCCATAAGCTGAGTAACGGGTATCCGATAGTCGAGGTACTCGACTATAGCGTTCTTCCTCGTTTTTTGTATAAGGGCTTTGTCCGCTTGTATAAACGGTCATGAAGGATTGTAGGAAATTTATCTGAACAATGTTAATTAGGTCCAGCTCCGTTCACATAAGAAATTTACTAATAACCATTTCTAAAAGAAACAGAAACAAAAAATGTTTTTTGTTCATTCAAAGTAAAAATAAACTAGAAGACATAACCTTTTACAATGAAATATGTTGAGAATCGTTGGATGATGGGACTCTCCGCAGTTAAACGCCAAGTAATGTCCACAGCTAGCTTGTCCGCAATTAGCTTTAAATAATCGTACAGCTCACGATAAGCTCGTAATTTCACACCCCTTGTTGAGAGGGACATTTAAACATGTTAAGCAATTAAAAACATTTAGAAAAAAAAGCTATGTTTACTAAACGCACAGATTTGATAAAACATCAGACAAATCGCAGAACAAAATGACGCTCGGGCGAAAAATAATTGCGTCGCTCAAAAGGAAGACCCGATAAATTTTCAGAAAAAAGGGTTTTCCACTAAATTTTGTTTTTGTAAAATGTGTACTATCGTCTTTCTATCGCTCAGAAGTGTCTCAGAAGTTACTTCTTCGCGATCCTGACCCTTTTTGTTTTATGTAAAATGGGTACTATCGTCTTTCTATCGTCCGTAAGTGACTTCGAAGTTACTTATACGCGATACATGTATATTTTGTTCTTGTAAAATGTGTTTTATCGTGTTTCTATCGCGCAGAAGTTACAAAGAAGTGACTTTTGGACGAAAGGCGATAGAACTATCGCCCCGTTGCTAGCAGGGTTCTTTCGGCCATAGTGCGGATTGTTTTCTTTAAGGTCCCTCAACAGACGCTCAATTTTTTGAGTGTTTGCCTTCGTGTCTGGGTTAACAAAATTGATGGAGTGGTTGACTTTCAAATGGTCTTGAATGAAGCGGAAATGAGCTTTCCCATCCATGCCCAGAAAAACTCCAAACGTGTAAAAGCAGAATTGGCACGTCATGTTGAACAGAATGAATCAATAAAAAACAATTTTTGATGCAAATTTCAATATTACATAAAATTTATAGACAACTCGCTTTTATAGCAAGTGAGAAAAGCACACGTGTTTTTTATAGCAAAACCGGGATCTTTGAAACTCAATTACAAAAGAACCACGTCCGACCGCCAAGTTCTTTTTGCACATAAATTCTTATGAAATCGCGGTCCATCGAAGATAATTTTTTCGCGAATTTCGGGGGTGAGTCCCCTAATCTAGAGTATTACCCTGAATTAAAAACTGGAGTATTGAATCGATTTTTCGTGTGCGGTTCCATTTTCCGCTGCAGCGAGTTGTAGCGTCTTTTCCCGTTATACGGACATTTTTGTTGGTGGAGGACCAAATCAGAAATTTATCTCACCTTTGAAAATAAATACTGCTATGCTTTTTTTTTTTAAATATGACCAACCTTCAGCTTATGTCCTTCTTGGCAAGACCCGGCACTTTTTGCGCGAAAACAACTATTGTATTTCTGTTTAAGAAGCCATTATAAATTCCATTTACCCGGAGCAACTGAATTTGGACGTCCACTCTCCTTCGCAAAAAGTTTGGCTATGCCGATCAGCTGTTTACTTCAGTGATTTTAAGCGCCTGTGTGCAGAGGCTATAAGCCAATGACGTGTCACCTTATTAATTTCAAAATAACTTTATTGGAATGACTTTGCCCAACATCTAGTTTTTAATTGTCACCGCTTAACAAACAGACACTCAATAGCAGCTTTTGTCTTTCCTGCTACCATGCATAGGTTTCAATTTTGTACACTTACAAGTAATTCGATTTTTGGTAATGTAAAATGTAGTTGTTTGTTTATACATTTTTCGCGAGAGTTTTTCTGGGAGCACTTTTTGAATAAATTGTATTGAATTGAGTAAAAAAAACTATTTTTGATAATATTTCCTCTTTTTACTTAATATAAATGGACGCAAGAGCTACGCGTCCATAATGGAAGTGCGGAATTACCCTATAATAACACACAACATCATAGCACGACCATAGTGTAAGCGGGATCTAATTTTATTCATTCCGCGGTCATACTAAAGAGCACATATAAGAGCGAAAAAGACTATATGACGAGGGGAAAGTAAAATACTAAGGCAGAGATTGGTCAAAAAGTATTTAAGGAACACGCAATCTCTTTTTTAGGAAAAAATTTATGTGGGCTCTGCTGTAACTGTGAATATTATTTTTCAAATTTTAAAAGTACTTAAATTTATCCCAAATTTTCGTTTAATTTTTAAAACTCAAATCAAATTGGTTTTGTGTTTAGCATCGTGACCTATAACTCCCGAGAGGGTGGTATGGAAAGAAGTAAACAGTGTTTTTTCAAGTGTCAGATGACGACTAAATGCGCTAAACAATTTAAATTTGCCAAAAATGTTAGTATCCTGGAATATTTACTTAAAATTGTTCATATTTTAGTTCAGGCGGATAAAAACCTAAATAGTTTAAAAAATAAAAATTCAATTGCGAGAGCATGCCGGATGCTCAACTCGGTAACAATGAAAAGCGCAAATTTCGCCTCTCTTATCACAATTATCCTTTTTGCCAATGGTATCAATGGAACTGCGGTGGACTTAATGGCTGTGTCGTCATTACCAAGGCAAGTTTTTCGCACTAAGATACATATGTATTTCATTTTTTAGATTACAACTATCATAAGAGCATAATTTGTTATTTCTTTATTTAATGATTATTAGTATTTTTATAATTTTTGTTAGCAAATATACATATGTATGCGCTATACATAAGTACACTTATGTATCTATCTAGATAAATCTGGTTGTGTGCTGTTTATAAGCAGACCCATCCAATGTGGTGATTCACCAATGTTTTTGCACATAAATGTACAGCCATCTAATATTTTGGCTTCACTATCCCCGCAGTGTCAAAGCGAGGTTAAAATGCGCCACCTACCCAAGATTTCAATATGTGGTTATGTGGGCGGTAGACAGATTTAAGCGTTATGGGCGTCAGAGTGGGCGTGGCAATCTTTTTGGGTCAATCAATTGGTATTGACGAGACTAATACATTTCAGTTAACATTTTTTACCTAGCATGAAAATTGTGGGCGCCACAGGTTTGGGCGGCTTGTGGGCATTAGAGTGGGCGTGGCATAATCGCGTAACAAACTTGCGCTGCGTACAAGGCTACGGAGTCTAAATTTAAGATCCCAATTCTTTATATTTTATAGTTTTCGAGATATCGACGTTCATATTTACGATTTTTTGGAGCTTGTGGGCGTTAAAGTGGGCGTGGCAATCTTTTTTTTTGGGTCAATGTAGTTAAAATTTTTATTCTAGCATCAAGCTGTAGGAGCCACAGTTTTGTGCGGCTTGTGGGCGTTAGAGTGGGCGTGGCACTCTGATGAAACAAACTTGCGCTGCGTTAGAAGCTCAGGAATCTGCATGCCTAATCCCAATAGCCGAACTCTTATAGTTTCCGAGATCTCAGCGTTCATCCGGACGGACGGACAGACGGACATGGCTAGATCGACTCGGCTAGTGATCCTGATCAAGAATATATATACTTTATGGGGTCGGAAACACTTCCTTCTCCCTGTTACATACTTTCCGACAAATCTAGTATACCCTTTTACTCTACGAGTAACGGGTATAAAAATCTGGTGATTTGTCCGACCTGTTTCTCTGCTTATAATACTTTTTCGACTCTCTCGCTCTCGGGTTTAAGCCAGATATTTGGCATTTGTTTTATTAAACATAAAAATATTTTCGGTCCGGTCACAATGCACCATATGTGTTCTGAAAGGTGAACCTACTTCCTTTCCAAAAATTTCAATTACAAATATATTGGACTAACGGGTTTCGAGATATTTTTTGTGTAATATGTTTATGCACCTCTTTCCACTCTCTTTCCTCCTCTCTTTCCTCCTCTCTTTCAAAAACGGGTCTCCACGGTTATCATTTTTGGCTGTAAACTAATGTTATCAGCATTGCTAGGCGAATACTAACCTTAAATGGGAACTTTATTATTTGTGTTTGCAGTTATTAGTAGAGCCCAAAAACTGAATTTACCGATTATTTTCGCTGGTCTAAAAAAATGGTCACACGCATACATTTGTACATGACAACAATACATACATTTTTACATGACAACTTAACGTTGTGTGTTTTTAATTAAGAAAAAATTACTTAAAATGCACCCAACAGATTGCCCGTTTTGGTATCCTAGTTGTGAAATTTTGTTGAAAACTAAAAAAAAATCCATATTAGCCATATCTCCACACTTTAAACGAAAAGTGGAACCGCTCGCATGGTCGGTTAGAAACACCCGACCAAATATCGGTTGGGGCTTAACAGCTGGGGTTCAAAAGACTTCCCCATATAACTTCTATGGGAGCTATAAGAAATATAAATATAGATTCAGCTCGTTCCGACCACCTGTAATAAAAAAGAGACTCGAAGCCTAGACTTCAATCGAATTGCGGAAATATATGTATTTCCCTAATCTTTCCCCAATAAATTTTAGCAAATAAGTTTACAGTTATAACAAGGGAGAACGCTATAGTCGAGTACCTCGACTATCAGATACCCGTTACTCAGCTAAAGGGACCAAAGGGAAATGAAGATGTGCAAGCAGTAAAGCGAGATTGAAATGTGCCACCTACACGCGATATTGAGGAGACTAATACATTTCAGTTAAAATTTCTTGTCTAGCATAAAAATTGTGGGCACCACAGGTTTGGGCGATTTGTGGGGATTATAGTGGGCGTGGCACAATCGCGTAACAAACTTGCGCTGCGCTCAAGGCTACGGAATCTAAATGTGAGATCCAAACTCTCTATCTTTGATAGAGGCGATGTGTGGGCGTTAAAGTGGGCGTGGCAAACTTTTTTTTGGTTCAATGGATAGGTATTGATAAGAACAATACATTTCTGTAAAAATTTGTATTCCAGCATCAAAACTGTATGAGCCACAGTTTTGGGCGGTTTGTGGGCGTTATAGTGGGCGTGGCGCACTGCTTGCGCTGCGCAAGAAGCTCAGGAATCTGCATGCCAAATCCCAATAGCCTAGCTCTTATAGTTTCCGAGATCTCAGCGTTTATACGGACATACCTAGACCTAGATCGACTCGGCTAGTGATCCTGATCAAAAATGTATATACTTAATGGGGTCATTATCCTAGTATATCCTTTTACTCTACAAGTAACGGGTATGAAAAGAGAAAACGCTTTAGTCGACGGCCTCGACTATCAAATACCCGTAACTCGGCTAACAAAAAAGGGTCTATCCGTCAAAACTATAGGCTGTTTACGAGGTTTCACTAACACGCCACCTAGGTAGCGCTACTGAAATTGCAGTTATAAGAAATAATCAATGTTAGTATTACCATGTTAAATTTTTAAGGATTGTTGCTAGCTTCAGTTATTTTTATGGAAAATTAATTTATTAATGCTAAAAAGTTAACATATTCTATATCCCAGAGTAAAAAAAGTACTATCAGAGCAAAACTTTTTTAAAAATAATTAT